ACCCGCCGTCCCGGGGCATGGGCTCCACCGCTGCTTCAGGTGCCGCCTCCGTCCCCTCTCCTTGTCGTCTCTGTCGTCGTCGCCGGGAGCCCAAGCGCGCCTCCGCCGAGCCCCGCGCGTGCCTGCTCGTTCGTATTCGCACTTTCGCTAGAGACCGAAGAGTCTGCAAAGCATTAAGAGAGGCTAAAATCGATATAAGCTATTTTCAGGGAGATATGCCTAGCATGAAACATAAAGAAGGAAACAAAGAGAAGGAGGAAGCACGGGAAAAAGAAACGTGAGCAGCGAATCTGCAAAGCCGGAACTGCAGAACGCAAGGGGCGGACCGAAGTAGACGCCGTCTCCTAGAGCAGCGCGCAGGCGCGAACCTGAACCGCCCCGCCCCCTCCAGCCCCCTTCCAGCCCCGCCTCCACCTAGGTAACTATGTTCAGACTGTCGCACATTCGTCACGAGCCCAAATCACGGGGAGAATGGCGTTGACAGAATGAAAACATATGTTGGGCTGGAGCTAGGCCAACTTGCGAGGAGGGATTAAATGGCTAGAGACGTGGAAAGGAAAGGCGAAGGGGGCTCCGCTAATCATATGAATACGTACAGGTGACGGGTGATGACAGAGGGATCCTGTCTGGACACTCAATCTGCTGCCCTCTTTCTAGATTCTAGGCTTCGATTTGCGGGCTGCAGTTTCATCAGTAGTTCTAGGTATCTCGGCAGCTCCGCATAAAATCTAAATTACAGGGCCGGGAATGTAGCTCAGCGGCATAGCGCCTGCCCGGCAAGTGCGATGTCCTGAGTTCGATTCCCGGTACCAAAAAAAAATCTAAATTACAATATTAAATTAAATGCGAGTCCATGAGGAATATCCTATACCTGATTTTTTTTTTTTTTTTTTTAATGGGAGAAGAGTTCCCAAAAGGGAGAGATGAATCTGCCGATCCAAACACCGGGCAATGAAGGTAGATCACCAAACCATCACTAGCGCGAGCCACGCCCCCAGGGCACAATTCAATGCTCAGGTTTCGGCTCGGCACTTTCGCTATCCTTTCCCCGCCCACAGAGCCCCTACCGGCTGGTTGAAACCTTGAAAGGGGCTTGGGGCGGAGCAAGCCACCAACTTGCTAAGGCAGTCGGAGAGCTAGGCCTGGAACTCGCCAGAGGTGGCGTAGTGAATGGACTAATGGGGCGTTTGGGACTGACTGGCCCATTCAGCATCACCTACAAGCGCGTGTTCGCAACTAATAAAACAAATGTCTTTTATTCTTACTGGAAGGCTTCACTTAAATTCCGAACTTGAGAGGACTAAAATAGGGGACAGGAAGCCGGGTATGGTAGTGCCTGCAGGCTGAGGCAGGAGGATTTTTTTAAAGTGCGAGGCCAGCTTGAACTACAAAAACAAAAACAAAAAACCTATCTTTTCAACAGGGGACACAAACTACTTTAAATATCATCTGCTGAATGATAAGGATTAAATGAAGCATATATGGACTGCCTCATTAAAAAGCAGGAAAGGGGGGAGCCAGAGGACAATGGAGGTAGGGTGGAGCTTCATGCTAACCACTAATCCTCTGCTTTTTCTTGTTCACGACTTTCCATTCTCTCCACCTGCAAGAAACAAATCAGCAGGGGGCTGGGGATTTAGCTCAGTGGTTCTGCTGCCTGCCTCACAAGTGCAAGGACCCAAGTTCGAACCCTGACACCAAAAAAAAAAAATCAGCTGAGTGCAAGTCCACACCTCTCCACAGTGGGACCCCAGAAGTGACACCTGTGTGCAGCCACGTAACCCAGTGTGAACCACACTCCTTGGCTTAAAAAGAAAGCTCCACCCCTCACCCACCCAAACTGCCATAGTACAGATCTCCCCTTGAGAAGTTGTGGGGAGCAGCCCTGCACACATATCCAGGTTCCTCACCATCTCCACCCAGGCCCACAGGATCCTGAACCTGGATAACCACCCTACCACCTCCCAAAGAAGATTCCATCCCTCAGACAGCCCAAACATTTGAAAAGAAAACCAAGAGTTGAATTGTGCTGGGATGATTGCTTCTTTAACGGGACGGGAGCACTGGGGAATTTTGCAAACTCTTGAATACAGTTCCCCGCCCTACAGTTTGCCTTCCTTCAACCCAGCCCTCTGCCCTGTCTTCAGGAACTGGCACCTGGCCCATATTCGGTAGAGTTCAGAACTCGGAGGTCGAACAGTCTTTCGGTGACATCAGAATTCCGGGGGCTGCAGTTTTATTGAGTAGACCCTGGAGGTCCTCAACAGCCACAAATGCTTGGAGATTGGCTAGAATTCCAAGGGAACCCAGAACTCCTCAGGCCCCCGAGTTCCTGGTCAGGAAAGAAACCTGGGATACCGCAGCTAAGCCCACAGTGGAAGGGTGAACACAGTACTGACTTCATGGCTCGAAGGTGTAAGAAATAATGTCACTACAGCGAAGCAGGGCCTCCGCCTGTATACCTATGGGAGTCTGCAGCTGAGAAACGTAGAAGTTGGCCACGTCCAGGTCGGTGGCTCCGAAGTGGGCGGTCACATGCACACCCTCGTGCAGTGTGAACCTCACCTGGCGACCCACCATGGCCAGCAGGCTGCGCAAGTAGCGCTCCCGAAGGGCGGCTCGGGCGCGCTGCTCCCGGGATTCCTGGGATTGTTGACCTACAGGACACTCTTGGCTTCCAGGTGCTTCTGGCTTCAGGCGGGTCCTGCGTCCATCAGGGGCAAAGCCACGGCTCAAGCCATCAGGGCCGCGGGGGAACCGGAGCACAGGCACTGGAATGGCCAGAGGAGTCTGCATTGCACCAGCTGTTCAGTGAGGAAGGGCGGGGAGCCATTAACTGGGGCTGTGGAACGCGAGGAGGGAAGGGAAGATGTTGCCCCTCCCAGTGTCACATTTAAACTGTCCAAAATGCTGATTTTCCTCCTCAAACCTTCGCCATCCCGCCCCAGGAGCTGGCATCACTGTTTCTGCAGTGCTTTGGGCCAGAATCAAAGCGCCACACACACAAAAGAAGCTCTACAGAGGCAAGGACTTTGGTCTGTCTTTAGCATGGCTTTATCCCAGGTCTGGGCAGTAAGTATTTGCCAAAAACTAAACCCACTCCACCCCACCCACACACAGACTATCCAACCCATCAGGAGATCTCCTATTCCCAAAAGATCCGCACTCACACAGGAGCCCACTGAAAAGGTGCTGCTGGCCAAATCTAGAATGATTTCAACGTAAAAGTAATGAAAAGCACAAGATGGACCTAGTGGCACACACCTGTAATCCCAGCATTCAGGGATAAGGCAGGAAGATGGTGAGTTTGAGGCCAGCCTGATCATCATGACAAGTCAGTCTCAATGTTAAAAAAAATTTTTAAGAGGTTTTTTTTTTTTTTTTTTTTTTTAGGGTTGGGGATGTAGCTCAGTGGTAAATTGTTTGCATAGCATGTATGAGGCCGAGGTTTGATCCCCAGCAAGGCAAAATCAATAAATAATGAAACCTGGGCTTGATGGCACATGGTTGCAATCCCAGTATTGGGGAGGCTGAGGCAGGAAAATCAACATAAGTTCAGGGTCACCCTGGGCTACATAGTGAGTTCAAGGCCAGTGTGAATTACATGAGACCTTGCCTCAAAAAAAAACAAAATAAAGGGCTGGGGATTTAGCTCAGTGGCACCACACCTGCCTCGCAAATGCAAGTTCAATCCCTGGTACTGCAAATAAATAAATACATAAGGGCCTGGGATGTAGCTTAGCAGCACAGCACCTGCCTGGCAAGCATAAGGTCCTGAGTTTGATTCCCAGTACCAAAAAAATAAATAAATAAAAATAACAGTAAAAATAAGTTATAGCCTATAATTACTGAATAAAATAGAAATCCAGAATCCATACTGATAAGTGAATAAAGCCAGTCATGGTGGCACATGGTTATAATAATCCCAGAGCTCTAGGAGGCTGAGGCAGGAGGATCCCAATTTTAAGCCCAGCCTGGGCAACTTAGCAAGACCCTGTCTCAAAATAAAACATAAAAAAGGATGGTGAAGGGTCAGGGATGTAGCCCAGGGGTACCATGCTTGCCTGGTAAGCGCAAGATTCTGAGTTTGATTCCTCATACAAAAAAAAAAAAAAAAAAAAAAAAGTTGTTGAACCAGATGTAGTAGCACAAGCTTGCAGTCCCAGCATTGTGGAGACTGAGGCAGGAGGATTGTCATAAATTTAAGGCCAGCCTGGGCTATATAGTGAGAACTCATCTCAAACAATCAAAAAGAGAAAAAAAGAATGAAGATACCTACAAGGTCTTCCATACTGCAGAGTGGCAAGCGGAGTAAGGGCCATGAAGACCGTGGAGGTGGATATGGCAGTGTACAGGTGAGCCTGCTGAAGCAGAGGTGTCTGCTGGGAAGAGGACGTGTGCAGCCCTCACGGACATGCCATCACTCAGTGATCGAAGCCACCCTCTCCCGTAGTGGGACAGTGCGGACAGCAAGCCACTTCCAGCCAAAAAGGCTTACCAGGTGGGTGTGGGGCGCAAGACTGTAGTCCCAGCCCTCGGGAGGCTGAGATAGGAGGATCGCCATGAGTTCAAGGACAGCCAGGGCTACAGAGTGAGACCCTGTCTCAAAAAACAAAAAAAACAAAGAAAAACAAACAAGGGGGTGAAGGGAGGGCGGGGGTAAGGGGAAAAGATGAGAACCAAGACCTGTCACATAAAGGTAAGAGATCCCAGTGATGAATGTAACTGTACTGTATACCTAAAATGTACCAAGAAAAACAAAAAAAAACACAACACAAAACAAAACAGATTACCATACTCAAACCAAGGCACATTCCATCAAAGAGCAATGACAAACACTAGGCTGGACTCCTAAAAGACACCAAAATGCCACAAAAGACAAGGGCTTAGAAAAGCACAGATGACAGCATCCATACCCAGACACTGCTCACCCCTCCACCTTGGGCAACCTGTCACTTCCTTTGTGCCCTCAAGTCAGTGCGGCATGGGGCGCCTGACCACCTCGGTCAGCTCAATCCTTCCTCTCTCAGAGCCAGAGCACCAGGCCACTCTCAGCCCCAGCTATGAGGAGCTGTGTCCCTCCTGGGGCCCTGGGGCCAAGCTCCCTGCTGCTGCCTGCATTCCCTTCCCTCAGTCGCCTTCCGGACGGCCACCGTGCTTCGCCCAAGCAAGTCCCATTCCTGCTCCAGTGTCACCCCGCAATCAAGACCACCTCATCAATATTGCTGAGTGGGGCAAACTGCTTATTTATTTTTGCAGTACCAGGAATCAAACTCAGGACCTTGCGCTTGCAAGGCAGGTGGCAGAACCACTGAGCTAAATGCCTGGCCCTTTGTTGTTGCTGTTTTAACTCTTTGAGGCAGGGTCTTGCTATGGATATGCATTCCCATGGATATGAATTCCCAGCTGGCTTGGAACTCAGAGATCCTCCTACCTCGGACTCCCAAGTGCCCAGACTACAGACATGTACCACCACCATGTCCAGCTAAATTGCTTAAATGCTCTGTGCTTTGGTTCCCCACCTGTAAAATAGGGCCTTCTCTCAGAGGGCTGGCATGGGGCCTAAATGACCTGACCGCTGATGTTCAGCACACACCTGGGCTGTGTTAAGCGCCACCACAGTGATGCTGAACGCACTTGAGAAAACGCTGGCCTTGTGGGCAGGAAGACCGAGGACCTAGGTTTTAGGCAGCTGCACCAGCTGCTAGGTCCCTCCCTTCCCCTCTAAATACTAGTGAGCCTGGCATGGTGGCAGAGGCTTGTAATCCCAGATACTCAAAGGCTGAGGCAGGAGGACTGTAAATTCAGGCCCAGGCAGGGCAACTTAATGAGACCTGTCTCAAAACAAAAATAAAAAGGAGTAGGGGTAGGGCCAGGGATTTGGCTCGGTGGTTTCGCTGCCTGCCTCACAAGCGCATGGGCCCGAGTTTGATCCCCGGTACCAAAAACAAAACAAAACAAAAGCTCTTTCACCATTGTATGAGGTATCCTGGTAGCTCTTTACCCCAATAAAGCCTTGCCTGGAGAGGAAAAAAAAAAAAAAAGGAGTAGGGGTGTAGTTCAGGGTAGAATGCTTGCCTAGCATGCATCCATTCCCAGCACTGCAAAAAAATTTTTTAAAGCCTTGAGAATTGATGACACTGATGAGGACTGGGCACCCAGCACCTGGGGCCAGGCACACAGAGGAGGCCATTCAAATGATACTAGGTTTTATATCATTTTCTTTTTTTTTTTTTTGGCGCTGGGGATCGAACTCTGGTCCTTGCGCTTGCAAGGCAGGCCACTGAACCGCTGAGCTGAGCTAAATCCCCAGCCCTTTATATCTTTTTCAAGCAACACAAAAAAGTTTGTAAAAGAGTATTGAATCAAGCCAGGCCTGATGGCATGGGTCTGTAATCTCAGCACTCCAGGACCCTGAGGGAGGAAGATCAAAACTTCAAGCCTAGGGCCGGGGATTTGGCTCAGTGGTTCTGCTGCCTGCCTCCCAAGCACAAGGGCCCGAGTTTGATCCCTGGTACAAAAAAAAAAAAAAAAAAAAAAAAAAAAAAAAACCGCGTGGTGGCACACACCTATAATCCCAGCACTCGGGAGGCTGAGGCAGGAGGATGGCTGTGAGTTCGAGACCAGCCTGGGCTGCACAGTGAGCTCCAGGACAGTCTCAATTACATAGTGAGACCCTGTCTCAAAAAATAAACAAACAACAACAAAAAACAGATTTTACTGAAATAAATGATAGAGAAAATAAACTAGCAACATAGCCCATTCATTCATCAATATCAACTGTGTGTTTCTGTGAGGTTTTTGTTTGTTTGTTTCTGTGCATGTATCTGTGTTTTTTGGTTTTTTTGTGTAGTTTGGGTTTTTGTTTTTTTTGGGGGCAACAATGAGAATTGAACCCAGGCCATCATACATGGTAGGCAAGCCCTCTACCACTAGCTACATCTCCAATTATTTTATTCGTTTATATCTATGTATTGCAGTACTGGAGATTGAACCCAGAGCTGTCCCACTCAGCTACATCTCCACACAGTGTCTGTTTTTGTGGGTTTTTTGGCACTGGAAATCGAACTCAGGGCTTCAGGCTTAGCAGGCAGGCACAGTACTGCTGATCTACATCCCCAGCCCAGTTTTTGTATTTTTTATTTTGAGACAGGGTTTTGCTAAGTGGCTAAATTGGCCAGGTTGGGCTCATACATATTCCTCAGGCCTCAGCCTTCAGCTCTTTTTATTACCTTGAGGCAGGGTCTTACTAAAATCCCCAGGCTGGCCTGGAGTTTGGGATCCTCTTGCCTCAGCCTCCCAAGTAACTGGGATAGTAATCATGTGCCACCTAGCCATCCTATTATTTTATATACCCGGCAGCTCAGTAGTGTTTACGCCAGCGTCACTGCCATGTCACAGGGGCCACAATGTCATTAGTTATTTGTCAGCTCCATTACAATTTTATGGGGCCACCGCTGTGTGCTCCTTCACTGATGGAAAAATTGTTATGTGGCAGGTGACAAATGCTCCCTACATGCTGCCTCTTCACCTTTGAGAGAAGGGCATGCACGATTACTTCCCAACTCCATCCCACCCCAGGTAACGGGCTGGGAAATATCTGTTGAAGGCTTATAAAGATTCACAAGTTTCGCTGGGCATTGTGGCACACATCTGTAATCCCAACTACTCAGGAGGCTGAGGCAGGAGGGTAGCAAGTGTGAGGCCAGCCTGGGCAACTTAGGAAGACCCTGTCTTAAAATTTTCAAAGGCTGAGGATGCAGCTTGCGGTAGAACACTGCTGGGTTACTAGCAATTTTGTTTT